GCTGGTTCAACATATACAAATCAATAAATGTAATCCATCACATAACAGAACCAATGACAAAAACCACTTGATTATCTCAATAGATGCAGAAAAGGCCTTCAACAAAATTCAACAGCCTTTCATGCTAAAAAATCTCAATAAACTAGGTATTGATGAACGTATCTCAAAATAATGAGAGCTATTTATGACAAACCCACAGCCAATATCATACTCAATGGGCAAAAACTGGAAGCATTCCCCTTGAAAACTGGCACAAGACACCAATGCCCTCTCTCACCACTCCTATTCAACATAGTGTTGGAAGTTCTGGCTAGGGCAATCAGGCAAGAGGAAGAAATAAAGGGTATTCAATTAGGAAAAGAGGAAGTCAAATTGTCCCTGTTTGCAGATGACATGATTGTATATTTAGAAAACCCCACTGTCTCAGCCCAAAGTCTCTGTAAGCTGATAAGCAACTTCAGCCAAGTCTCAGGATACAAAATCAATATGCAAAAATCCCAAGCATTCTTATACACCAATAACAGACAGAGAGCCAAATTATGAGTAAACTCCCATTCACAACTGCTTCAAAGAGAATAAAATACCTAGGAATCCAACTTACAAGAGATGTGAAAGATCTCTTCAAGGAGAACTACAAACCACTGCTCAATGAAATAAAAGAGGACACAAACAAATGGAAAAACATTCCATGCTCATGGATAGGAAGAATTAATATCATGAAAATGGCCATATTGCCCAAGGTAATGTATAGATTCCATGCCATCCCCATCAAGGTACCAATGATTTTCTTCACAGAATTGGAAAAAACTGCTTTAAAGTTCATATGGAACCAAAAAAGAGCCCGCATTGCCAAGACAATCCTAAGCAAAAGGAACAAAGCTGGGGACATCATGCTACCTGACTTCAAACTATACCACAAGGCTACAGTAACCAAAACAGCATGGTACTGGTACCAAAACAGAGATATAGACCAATGGAACAGAACAGAGGCCTCAGAAATAACACCACACATCGACAACCATTTGATCTTTCACAAACCTAACAAAAACAAGCAATGGCAAAAGGATTTCCTATTTAATAAATGGCGCTGGGAAAACTGGCTAGCCATATGTAGGAAGCTGAAACTTGATCCCTTCCTCACACCTTATACAAAAATTAATTCAAGATGGATTAAAGACTTAAATGTTAGACCTAAAACCATAAAAACCCTAGAAGAAAACCTAGCCTGTACCACTCAGTACATAGGCATGGGCAAGGACTTCATGAAAGCAATGGCACAAAATGACACCAAAAGCAATGGCAACAAAAGCCAAAATAGACAAATGGGATCTAATGAAACTAAAGAGCTTCTGCACGGCAAAAGAAACCACCATCAGAGTGAACAGGAAACCTACAGAATGGGAGCAAATTTTTGCAATCTACCCATCTGACAAAGGGCTAATATCCAGAATCTATAAAGAACTTAAACAAATTTACAAGAAAAAAACAATCAAAAATTGGGCAAATTATATGAACAGACACTTCACAAAAGAAGACAGTTATGCAGCCAAAAGACACATGAAAAAATGGGCTCATCATCACTGGTCATCAGAGAAATGCAAATCAAAACCACAATGAGATACCATCTCACACCAGTTAGAATGGCAATCATTAAAAAGTCAGGAAACAACAGGTGCTGGAGAGGATATGGAGAAATAGGAATGCTTTTACACCATTGGTGGGAGTGTAAACTAGTTCAATTATTGTGGAAGACAGGGGGGCGATTCCTCAAGGATCTAGAACTAGAAATACCATGTGACCCAGTGATCCCATTACTGGGTGTATACTCAAAGGATTATAAATCATGCTACTATAAAGACACATGCACACATATGTTTATTGTGGCACTATTCACAATAGCAAAAACTTAGAACCAACCCAAATGTCCATCAATGATAGACTGGATTAAGAAAATGTGGCACATATACACCATGGAATACTAAGCAGTCATAAAAAAGGATGAGTTCATGTCCTTTGTAGGGACATGGATGAAGCTGGAAACCATCATTCTGAGCAAACTATCACAAGGACAGAAAACCAAACACCACATATTCTCACTCATAGGAGGGAATTGAACAATGAGAACACTTGGACACAGGACGGGGAACATCACACACGAGGGCCTGTCATGGGTGGCAGGGAGGGGGAGGAATAGCATTAGGAGAAACACCAAACGTAAATGACGAGTTAATGGGTGCAGCAAACCAATATGGCACATGCATACCTATGTAACAAATCTGCATGTTGTGCACATGTACCCTAGAAGTTAAAGTATAATAATAATAATAACAATAGAAAAAAAAGCAAACAACTCCATCAAAAAGTGGGCAAAGGATATGAACAGACACTTCTCAAAAGAAGATATTTATGCAAAAAAAAAAAAAACATGAAAAAATGATCATCACTGGTCATCAGAGAAATGCAAATCAAAACCACAATGAGATATCATCTCACACCAGTTAGAATGGCGATCATTAAAAAATCAGGAAACAACAGATACTGGAGAGGATGTGGAGAAACAGGAATGCTTTTACACCGTTGGTGGGAGTGTAAATTAGTTCAATCACTGTGGAAGACAGTGTGGCAATTCCTCAAGGATCTAGAACTAGAGATACCATTTGACCCAGTGATCCCATTACTGGGTATATGCCCAAAGGATTATAAATCATGCTACTATAAAGACATATGCACACATGTATTTACTGCAGCACTATTCACAATAGCAAAGACTTGGAACCAACCCAAAAGCTCATCAATGATAAACTGGATAAAGAAAATGTGGCACATATACACCATGGAATAGTATGCAGCCATAAAAAAGGATGAGTTCATGTCCTTTGCAGAGACATGGATAAAGCTGGAAACCATCATTCTGAGCAAACTATCACAATGACAGAAAACCAAACACCACATGTTCTCACTCATAGGTGGAAATTGAACAATGAGAACACTTGGACACAGAGCATGGAACATCACACATGGGGGCCTGTCGGGTTGGAGAGATAGCATTAGGAGAAATACCCAATGTAAATGACAAGTTGATGGGTGTAGCAAATCAGCATGACACATGTATACCTATGTAACAAACCTGCACGTTGTGCACAGGTACCCTAGAACCTAAAGTATAATAAATACATACATATACATACATAAAATAATACTTAGAATGACAAAAAAATTAAATTAAAATTTGCTCTATTATCTCAATGTGAGAAAACAGCTACACAAATTTTAACCAAATTTCATGGGCATATATGGGATGGTCTGACCTACAGTCACTAGCGTATAAAAAAACATTCACTTTAGTGTAAAGATAAAAATGCACTTTGTGGAACTCTGGGGTGCCACCAAAGATACAGGCAGTTTAAGTACCAAAGCATCTAAGACTTTCAATCAAGAAATACAAGCTATAGCCAGGCGCTGTGGCTTACACCTGTAATCCCAGCACTTTGGGACGCGGAGGCAGTTAGCTCACGAGGTCAGGAGTTCAAGACCAGCCTGGCGAAGATGGTGAAACCCCGTCTCTACTAAAAATACAAAAATTAGCCGGGTGTGGTGGCGCATGCCTGTAGTCCCAGCTTGGGAGGCTGAGGCAGAGAATTGCTTGAACCCAGAAGGCAGAAGTTTCAGTGAGCCAACATCACGCCACTGCACTCTAGCCTGGGCGACAGAGCAAGACTCCCTCTCGGAAAAAAAAAAAGAAATACAAGCTATTAAAAATTACAGCATTATGGAGGAAAAAAGGTTTTCAAATGCAATAATCCCTTGGTGTCTTCAAGGGAATTAGTTCTAGGAACTCCCCTAAGGATACTAAAATCATGGATGCCCAAGACCCTTAATGGCATAGTATTTGCATACAACCTGTGGACATCTGCCCATATACTTTAAATCACCTCTAAGATTACTATGTACTTAGTTGTTATACTGTATTTTTAAATGTTATATATTTTTTATGGTTGTACTGCTATTTTTTTATTTTTTTCTGAATATTTTCTATCTGTGGTTGGTCATATCCTCAAATGCAGAACCCAGGGATATGGGCCAACTATATGTGCCCCAAATTTAAAGTCACAAAAGCAGACTCTGAATTGTAAGCAGTGATTTTAAATCAAGATACTTCCCATAAGGCAACTTAAGCCTAAATCAGGCACCAATGTATTTATTTAATGTTGGCTAATTATTTTCCTGGCCAGATTACTAGTAAGTATATTCCAACTTTTAAACACATTAACTTCTAAAGTAGCAGTTTTTATTGCTATAAGCAATCTAAAACAGTAATATGTTCATTTAAGAACATGGAGGGGTTTTTTTTCCTATTAGAAACCTACAATAAATTGAGACTTACTGAATACACAGAGTTGCTAAACCATTCATAGAACAGAATAGTTTATAGTCTCCTCAAATTCTGGAGTAAAGAAATGACAATCACATCTAAAAGAATAAGAAAAAGATAACAAAATGACATATACTTTTGCCAACACATAAAGAAGGTATTTCCTAAAGTGGAAAAATACCTTGATCACCTAAAGTAAAAACTACTACTGAAACATTAATTTCAATAAACAAGTTCATATGACTAACTAGAATTCAAGCATTTATAAAAAAGCATTACTCAAAATGAAATGTCCTATCCAAAGTCTCAAAAAAATTTTGATATTTTTACTGTGCTAAATATGGATGCCTTGTAATAGTCACATGTCTAAGAAACCCAGTATCAAATACTTTCCAGAAACTAAAACAGACACCAAGCTATTCAACCAGACTTAAGACCTTAGCTAACAATCCGAAAAAAAAAAGTCAGTAATACATAATCCTCAGGTGCTAGTCACTTAACATTACATTTATAAAAATACAAGAGAAGTATGAGTGACAAGAAATCAAGTAGCAACAATCAACAATTTCAATAATAATGTAAAATATGTTTATTTATGATATTAGAAATCAATATAATTTAGTCTTACCTCTGAACTGTAGTCATCTGCTGTGGTTGAAATTTCACTTTCCAGCTAAAACAAAAATAAAAACCAAATATAATTATGACTTTTTGTGCTAAATATCATACTTTACTAAGTCATTGCTATTGGTAACATATGATAGAAAAGTCATATAAAATGCCACTGAAAAACTAGTAAAAATTATTCAAATCTTTAAAATTTTTATTTAATTATAAATAACAATGGCAAAATAATGCAACTAAAATGTACCCATAGGCATTTTTCTAAATATAAAAGTATCAAGAGGTACTTTCATACAGGGTCTCATATACATATCATTTGTAAGCCAAAAGTACCAAGTAAGACAAAATTCTTCAATCCTCATACAGTAGCCCCCTCTGTATAGTATGGCTTCCTATAATTTCATTTACCCATGGTTAACTGTGATTAGAAAATATTAAAATGGAAAATTCCAAAAATAAACAATTCATAAGTTTTAAATTGTGTACTGTTCTAAGTGGCATGATGAAATCTTACTCTGTCCCATCCAGGACATGAATCGTCCCTTTGTACACCATATCCACACAGTATATGCTACCTGCCCAATAGTTACTTGGTAACCACCTCCATTATCAGATGCACTGCCATACAGTATGGCAGTATGCAGTATTGCAGTGCTTGTGTTCAAGTAATGGCCCCAAAGCACAAGAGTACTATGCCTAATTTATCAATTAAACTTTATCATAAGTATATAAGTATAGAAAAAAACACAGTATATATAGAGTTCAGTACTATCTGTGGTTTCAGGTCTCCACTGTGGGTGCTGGACTATACTCTCAATATGGTTTGGCTGAGTTCCCCATCCAAATGTCATTTTGAATTGTAGCTCCCATAATTCCCATGTGTTTTAGGAGGGACCTGCTGGGACATAACTGAATCATGAGAGCAGTTTCCCCCATACTGTTCTTGTGGTAACGAGTAAGTCTCATGAGATCTGATGGTTTTATAAGGGGTTTCCCTTTTCCCTTGGCTCTCATTTCTCTCATGTCTGCTACCATGTAAGACATGCCTTTTGCCTTCCACCATGATTGTGAGGCCTCCCCAGCCATGTGGAACTGTGAGTCCATTAAACCTCTTTTTCTTTATAAATGACCTAGTCTCTGGTATGTCTTTATCAGCAGCATGAAAATGGAATAATACAACTATCCACAAATGAGGAGGAACTACTGTACCTCTTTAAAATGAAACAAAATCCTAAAATGCTACTGTTAGAAAAGTTCGGCCAGGAATGGTGGCTCACGCCTGTAATCCCAGCACTTTGGGAGGCTGAGGTGGGTGGATCATTTAAGGTCAGGAGTTTGAGACCAGCCTGGCCAAAATGGTGAAACCTCGTCTCTGCTTAAAAAAAAAAAAATACAAAAACTAGCTGGGCGGTAGTGGTGCACGCCTGTAATCCCAGCTACCTGGGAGGCTGAGGCAGGAGAATTGCTTGAGCCTGGGAGGGAGAGCTTGTGGTGAACCAAGATCATGCCATTGCACTCTGGTCTGGGTGACAGAGTGAGACACTGCCTTAAAAAATAGTAATAATAATTAAAATGAATCAATAAAAAAGAAAAGGTCAATTTATCTGAAAGAAAAATTATAACATCTTGATGCTAAAAAAAGTAATAACTAAAGAAAAAATAACCACCTTTGTTGTTGTAACACCTTTATAGTTTACAAAAGCACTTTTAAAGTCATTCTTGTTTCACTATCACATCCCTGGATTTGGGTATGAAGTGAGCAGCTTTTTCAAGCTTCCCTAAAAGAAGTAGTGGAAAGAGTCAAGAACAAATCCAAATTTTCTGACTCCAAAAGTACTATTTTCACTATTGACCTTCTCATCTAACCTAAGAATCTCATTTTAATGGTTAGAAAGGTGAGACCCAGAGAGTTTCACCCCTTCATTCAACAAATATTAACTGTCACTGTCTCCTTTCTCATCTACACCTGTGGAAATTCTATTCAACATTCAAGTCCAAGTTCTAAAACTACCTTCTCCATGAAGTAGTAACCAAGGTCAAGAACAAAAATAAACTTGCCTGTAATCTAAAATGCTATTAACAGTGGTTCCTAACTCACAAGAGTCTCTTTTTTTTTCTTTTCAGACAGAGTCTCGCTCTGTTGCCCAGGCTGGAGTGCAGTGGCATGATCTTGGCTCACTGCAACCTCCACCTTCCAGGTTCAAGCAAATCTCCTGCGTCGGCCTCCCGAGTAGCTAGGATTACAGGCACACACCACCATGCCCAGCTAATTTTTGTATTTTTAGTAGAGACAAGGTTTCACCATGTTGGCCAGACTGGTCTTGAACTCCTAACCTCTAGTGATCTGCCCGCCTCAGCCTCCCCAAACGTTGGGATTACAGGCGTAAGCTACCGCACTCAGCCGAGATTATTTTTTAAATCTGAAACACTTTCATGATACAACCCTCATATTCATTAAGTGCATATTGTGTACTAGAAACGGTAGTACTGAGAATTAAATGATGAATAAGACAGTTGTTGCATTCAAAATGCTAAAACTATAGAATAGATAACCCAAAAACATTGGTTTGTTATATTAAAAAAAGATAATACACCTTTGGGCCAAATCAAGCAGTAGAGTTGCCACGCTGCATTATTTTTAAAATTCCAGCTTTAATAAAACAAAAATTACAAGACATACAAAAAAAAAAAAGGAAACGATAGCCTATGCACAAGAAAAACAATGGCCAATAGAAACTGTCCCTGAGGAACACAGTTATTGTACTTAATAGACAAAGTTATTTTCAGTTTTGTCTTGTTTTTTGCGACAGGATCTCACTCTGTCACCCAGGCTGGAATGCAGTGGTATGATCACAGCTTGCTGCAGCCTCCACCTCTTGGGCTCAAGCGATTCTCCCACCTTAGCCTCTGGAGTAGCTGGGACCACAGGTGTGTACAACCATGCCAGGCTAATTTTTTTTACTTTTTGTAAAGACAGGATCTCCCTTTGTTGCCCAGGCTGGTCTCCAACTCTTGGGCTCAAGTAATCCCCTTGCCTCCGCCTCCCAAAGTGCTGGGATTACAGGTATAAGCCACCACGCCTGGCCAACAAAGATTTTAACTTGGCCATTTTAAATACAGTCAAGTAGCTAAAGGAAATAAAATCTAAAAATGAGACCAAAAAAAAATTTAAATTGTAAGAACAACACCTCACCAAATGAAGAATATCAATAAAACAAAGAAATTATACAAGAATCAAATAAAAATTCTGGAGTTGAAAAGGAAAATAAATGAAAAAGCCACTGGAAGGACTCAGTAGTAGATCTAAGTAGGAGGGACAGAGAATCAGCAAACTTCAAGATAGATCAATTGCAATTATCCACTCTGAAAAATAGAAAGATGACTATATGTTAGACCATTTAAATACTCAAAATATTTTAAAAGACTGAATTTATATAATATAAAATGTGTGCTATAACATCTTTTGTCCCCGGTAACGGTTTTCATATTAAAGTCATTGCAAATAGACACAAAAAAAGCATTTAACAAAACTCAACACTCAGTTTGGGAGCACTGCCTCATGCCTATAATCCTAGCACTTTGGGAGGCTGAAGCAGGCAATCACTTGAATCCAGGAGTTCAAGACCAGCCCGGGCAACATGGCAAAACTCTGTCTCTACAAAAAAATATGCAAATTAGCTGGGTGGGGTGGCATGGGCCTGTACTTCCAGCTACTTGTGGGGCTGAGGTGGGAGGATCGCTGGAGCCTAGGAGGTTGAGGCTGCAGTGAGCCATGAGTGAGCCACTGCATGCCAGCCTGGACAATAGAGTGAGATCCTGTCTCAAAAAACAATAAAATAAATGGCTGGGCACGGTGGCTAACGCCTGTAGTCCCGGCACTTTGGGAGGCTGAGGTGGACGTTATCACTTGGGGTCAGGAGTTCAAGACCACCTTGGCCAACATGGTGAAACCCCATGTCTACTAAAAATACAAAAATCAGTTGGGTGTGATGGCTCACAATCCCAACTACTCAGGAGGCTGAGGCAGGAGAATTGCTTGAACCTGGGAGGTAGAGGCTGCAGTGAGCTGAGATCACCCCATTGCACTCCAGCTTGGGTGACAAAGTGAGACTTTGTCTCAAAAAAATAAATAAATAAAAATAAAAAATAAAAACCAAACAAAAAAACCCTCAACATTTCTTCATAATGAAAACACTTAATCAACCAGGAATAAAAGGGAACCTCCTCAATCCGATAAAGGATAGTTACCATAAAAAAAAAAAAAAGCTAATATAAAACTCAATGGTTAAAAAAAAACCTGAATGCTTTCCCCTTATTATGAGAAACAATACAAGGACATCTGCTTTCACCACTTCTTTTCAACATTGTCCTATATCTTCCAGCTATGGCAATTAGAAAAAAGAAAAAAGAGCATCAACATTGGAAAGGAAGAAGTTAAACATTTCTAGTTTAGTTGCAGATAATATGATCTTGCACACAGGGAAAATCCAAGGAATTCACACACACACACACACACACACACACAAACCTATTAGAACTTACAGATGAGTTAGTTCTGCAAGGGTACAGGATACAAGATCAATATACAAATGTAGTTGTATTTCTATACATGGATAATGAACAATCAGAAAATAAAGTTAAGAATACAATTATATTTAGAATCACAGTAAAAAGCAGTAAAATGCTTAGAAATAAAACAGCAATAAAATGCTTGGTGGCCAGGCATAGTGGCTCATGCCTATAAATAATACTTCGCAGGCATAAGCACTTTGGGAGCCAGAGCAGGAGGATGGCTTGAATCTCGGAATTCGAGACCAGCCCAGGCACAAAGTGAGGCCACGTTTCCACAAAAAAAATAAAAATAAAATAACCAAAACAAAGCCAAGTACGGTGGCTCATGCCTGTAATCCCAGGACTTTGGGAGGCCAAGGTGGGTGGATCTCCTGAGCTCAGGAGTTTGAGACCAGCCTGGGCAACATGGTGAAATCCCATCTCTACCAAAAATACAAAACTTTAGCCAGGTGTGGTAGCATGCACCTGTGGTCCCCGCTACTCAGGAGACTGAGGTGGGAGGATGGCTTGGACCTGGGTGTCAGAGGTTGCAGTGAGCCGAGATGGTGCCACTGCACTCCAACCTGGGTGACAGAGTGAGACCCCATCTCAAAAAGTAAATAAATAAAAATGTTTTAAAAATGCTTGAGAGTATATTTAACAAAACAAATGTAAGACATTTACACTGAAAACTACAAGATAACATTAAAAAAAACTAAAAACCTAAATAAATAAAAAATCCTGTATTCATAGGTTGAAAATTTAATATTGTTAAGATGACAAAACAGATTCAATGCAATCCCTGTCAAAATCCTTGGTGTTTTTAATGCAGAAACAGAAAAACTTGACCCTAAAATTGATACAGAAATGCAAGGCAATGACCAAAACAATCCAAAAAAGAAGCAAGTTGGAAGACTCACACTTACTGATTTCAAAATTTGTTATAAAGCTACATTAATCAAGACTTGGGGGCACAGTAGCAACGGCTAAACATACAGATCTACAGAATATAACTGAGGGAATAAATATAAACCCTCACCTTTATATTCACTGTCAGTTCATTGGGAAAAGAATAATCTTTTCAACAAATGGTATTGGTACAACTGGATAGTCACAAACAAACAAAAATGAAGTTGGACACCTATCTCCCATACTAGCAAAGGCCTAATCATAGCACACTGCATATCTTTAAATCTGCCTTCTCCACTAGAATAATTTTCCTAAAGGGCAGCGACAATCATATCCATCTTTGTAACACTGGTGCTCAATCTTTGGTGTACTGCAGTTGTTCAACAATGTTAAATTAAACTCACAAAACTCCCTCTTTGAGGTGATAAAATATTTTAGGTACGACTGTTTAGTTACCATACTACTAAAACGTTCAAGATGATATAAAAATCATGATCAAATTGTGCATAGTTGCTAATGACTGTTGTTATTATGACTACTTTACACTGAGAACCATAAATGATTAAAAATCTGGGAGAATACTTACTTCCACAGAGAAGACCTGCTCATGACTGGTTATTTCTCCACTAGGTAGAGTTCTCATTATTGTAGATTCAGGAGTCACAGTTGATTCTACTCTCTGAGAACTATTTATGTACATTTCATCACACTGTGATTGATCAACATTCAAATTATGGTGTGCTGACACATCATGTTTACTGCTTGTCGTTTTTCTCTTTTTTTTCTGCTTCTTAGAAGGATTCTGCCCATCCGATTGAGCTTTTCTTTGTCGAAACTGGGCAAGCTAAGAAAAAAAATTACCATTATTGTCAAAGATAATTTTTCTTTATTGCCACCAAGAAAAAAGCAGCTTTGGGAGTCTCTCTTTTAAAGACCAAACTATCACTAAAAAAAATGATGACAAAATAAAGAACAATTATTACAGTCTTTAATGTAACTACTGGAATGCAAAGAAACATTTCTGAATAAACCTACTGAAATATTGAGGGGTAAGAACTGAAAACGTCATGTCTAAATAAAAGAAAATTCGCCCAGAATTAGGCAGAATAAGGGAAATCAGGCACTGTCATTCACGGCTTGGTGAGAATATAATCTCACCAAGATTTTATTTTATTTTTACTTTTTGAGACAGGGTCTTACTCTGTCACCCAGGCTAGAGTACAGCAGCACCATCACAGCTCACCTCAACCTTCTGGGCTCAACGGATCCTCCCACCTCAGCCCCCAAGTAGCTGGAACCACAGGAACATGTCATCACACCTGGCTAATTTAATTCTTGTATTTTTTGTACAGACAGGTTTCTGCCATGTTGCCCAGGCTGGGCTTCAATTCCCAGACTCAAGTAATCCATCTGCCTCAGCCTCCCCAAAATGCTGGGATTATAGACGTGAGCCACTGTGCTAGCCAATTTCTGGATTTTAGATTATATGAAAACACACACACATACACACACGCACACACAGAGCACTAAATGAATTTGCTTTCTGGAATTTCTGGGTCTTCTATTACTGTACACTAAAAACATTTAGTTCATGCAAAAAGATTTAGCTATATAAAGTGGTCACTGCAGCCTTATTTATAATGGGAAAAAAACTGGAAATAACTTAAATATCAAACAGCAGTGCTTTCTGGCCCTTAATCATTTACATATCATCATCAGGATTTTTGTCCTATCCTAGAGCCACCTTTATGTATCATTTACTTAACATGTTTTAACCAATGTAGTTTTCTTATTTAAATTTATTTTAAGAACAGAGGCTTCTATTAGGTCAATACAAAAACTGCAATTGCTTTTGCACTGACCTAATAGCCCCAAAATGGCGGCATAGAAGCAAGCTGCCTTCACTCCCCCTCACAGAAAACCAAAAACAAATATACAGCGCCTAGATTATTACTGGCAATATCCCAGAACTCAAATATGAGGAAAAAAATAGTATTCAAGACCACAGAGAAGTGAAAAAACTCTGAGCAGAAGTTAAAAGAATTAGACTTTGATTTTCCTGATTCCCATTCTCCTAATCTGCCCAGCACCAAACATGGAAAATATTCCCCTGACTCACGGTTTCCACACTGGAAAAAGTAAGATCAAGGTGGACAACCAGCTTCCCCATCAACTTGGGCTCCTTGACAGGAGATCTGTCCCTGGCTCGACTCATGGGAAGTACTGGGAATATCTGAAGGGAAAAATATGCCTAACAGCCAGAGGCAAAGTGGGAATGCAAGACTACCATTCCTAGCCCTGAAAAACCCTGCTTTGTAACTTGGCCAAAGGAGACACCAAATCAGACTGGCTGTTCAGCAGCATCACACTGTAAGAGGTTCATGCCACAGGTCCTCTGGGCACGAGCCCCTAGCCAGCCAGGGGCCTTTGGGACCTTACCATCAAGGATGGATAACACTGATTGTTTACTAGAACTGAGGCAAACTGGGGCTAAAGGCATCATATGCATTATATTATGGAGTACTGAAACGGAGGCAGTGACATACTGCAAAAATAAAACACAGCAAAACATGAAAGATTCTCTAAGCAAACACATCCAGTAAAAGCTAAAACAAGCCAGACAGAGAAGACTAGAATAAATAACAAAATCTTCACTTTAAAAACATAGACATATATCCACAAGAAACAACAACAAATGGGAAACCTTGACTTAGTCAAATGGACAAAGCAAAGAACTAGTGAATGACCCTAACAAGAGAGAAATATGTGAAGTCTGTGAACAAGAATTCAAAATAGCAGTTTAAAGGAAACTTAGTGATCTCCAACAGACAAGCAATTCAGAAATTTACTACAAAAATTTAACAAAGATTAAAATTTTTTAATCAATCAAACAGAAATTCTGGAATTAAGAAATAGATTTGCTGAACAGAAAGAATCATTAGAGGCTTTCAACAGGAGAATGGATCAAACAGAAAAAAGAATCAGTGAGCTCAAAGACAGGCTACTTTAAAATACACAGAGGAGAAAAAATAAAGAATGAAAAGGAACAAAGATCACCTACAAGATACAGAAAATTACCTCGAAAGATCAAATCTAAGAATTATCAGTGTTCAAAGGGAGTTCTAGTCTTCACTGTCTGGCTTGTTTTGTTTTTTACTGAATGTGATCACTCAGAGAGTCTTTGTAATTTATGTATTGTTTTTGTATCTTTTTTTTGTACTATATCACTGCCTGTTCTTCAGCACTACATAATATAATGCCTAACTATAATGCAAGGGGAGAGAAATCTTATTCAAGAAATAATAAAAACTTTCCAAAACCGGAGAAAGAGATAAAATATCCAGGTATAGGAACATTAGAGAACAAGGCAGATTTGACCCAAAAAAGATTACTCCAAAGCATGTAATAATCAAACTTTCAATGGTCAAGGACAAACACAGGATCCTAAAAGTGGCAAAAGAAAAGAAGCAAACAAGGCATTAAAGAGCTGTACAAAAGAGCTACAATTTGTCTGGCAACAGACTTCTAAACAGATACCACAGAGGTCGTACAGGAGGAAGAAACCATATAGGAGGATGTGGGACATGTTCAAAGTGCTGAAGGAAAAAAATAGCCACCCAAAGATACTGTATTCAGCAAAGTTACCCTTCAAATACAAAGAAGAGGAATAAAGTCTTTCACAGACAAACAAAAGCTGAGAGGATTCACTAACACAGACCTGTTTGACAAGAAAAGCTAAAGAGAGTTCTTCAACCTGAAAGAAAAAACACTAATGTGAAGAAACAAAACATGTAAAGGTATACAACCCACGAGTAAAATTAAGTACATGGACAAACCCACAATACTCTAATACTGTAATTGTGGTGTAGCGCCCACTCGTAACTCTAGGATGAAGTCCAAAAGACAAACCTGCCAAAAACATTAATAGCTACAGCATCTTATTAAGAAATGGGCAATATAAAAACATGTAAATTGAGACAAAATAAAGTCAAAATGTGGAGGGAATGGAGTTATAGAGGGGTTTTTTTTTCTTTTTTTCTTTTGTTTCTATTCTTTTCTTTGTGATCCAAGGTAAGCTGTCATCTCGTTAAAATAACTTCTTGAACCTATGTCTTTTTAAGTCTCATGGTAACCACAATGCCAAAAACTGTACTATATTCACTACAAATAAAAATCAACAAATTAAAACATACTACCAGAAAAAAAAAATCACTTAACTTCAAAGAAAGAGAGTAAGAAAGGAAGAGAGGAATTACAAAACAATCAGAAAACAAGCAACAAAATAGCACTAGTAAGACCTCACTTATTAATAATAATACTGAATGTAAATACACTCAATTCTTCAGTTAAAATGGCGAAAGTGGCTGAATCAATACAGAAGTAAGACCTAACCATAAGCTGCCCACAAAAAACCCACTTCGCCTATTAAGAACATGCACAGACTGAAAGTGAAGGGGTGGAAAAGGATATTCCATGCAACTGGACACCAAAAAAGAACGGGAGTAGCTATACTTATATCAGATAAAACAGGCTACCAGTCAAGACTATAAAAAGAGACAAAGAAGGTCATTATATAATGATAAAGGGTCAATTCAGCAAGAGTATATAACTATTATAAATATCTATGCACCCAGCACCACAGCTCCCAAGCATAAAATGCAAGTATTAATAGATCTAAAGGGAGAGACAGACTGCAATACAATAATAGTAGGGAACTTAAATACCCCAATCCCGGTATTGGACAGATCATCCCAAGAGAAAATTAAAGAAAACATCAGAATTAAAATACACACTATGCCAAATAGGCCAGACTGATATTTACAGAACATTTCACCCAACTCCTGAAGAGTATTCTTTTCATCATGGAACATTCTCCGGAATAGACCATATATTAGGTCATAAAACAAGTCTCAACAAATTCAAAAGGTAGAAATCATATCAAGTATCGTTTCTGACCATAATGGAATAAAACTAAAAATCAGTCACAAGAAGAACCTCAGAAAACACAAACAAATAATAATTAAGCATGTTCCTGCTGGGCATGGTGGCTCATGTCTGTAATCCCAGCACTTTGAGTGGCTGAGGTGGGATGACTGCTTGAGCCCAGGAGTTCAAAACAAACCTGGACAACAAGATTTCACTTTGTTGCCTAGGTTGGTCTCAAACCTACAAAAATTCAAAACATTAGCTAGGCATGGTGTCCCACGCCTGTGGTCCCAGCTACTTGAGAGGCTCAGACAGGAGGATTGCTTGAGCCCAGGAGGTCCATTGCACTCCAGCCTGGGCAACAGAGAAAGGCCCTGTCTCAAAAAACAAAACAAACAAACAAACAAAAAACCAACATATTCCTGCAGGGCAAATGGGTTCATGACAAAATTAAAAGGGCAATTTTTAAATTTCCTGAAAGAAACGAAAGTGGAAATACAACATACCAAAATCTAGGTGATAAAGCAAAAGCAGTACTCAGAGGGAAATTTATACCAATAAAACAATACGAGAAAGACTTCAAACAAACAACCAAACAATGCACTGCAAGGAACTAGAAAACCAAGAACAAACCAAACCCAAAATTAGTAGAAGAAAAGAAATAACAAAAATCAGAGCAGAGACAAATGAAATTGAGGCCAAAACAGTCAATACAGAAGTCAATGAAACAAAAAGTTGCTTTTCTGAAAACATAAACAAAATCAACAAACCTTTAGTTATACTAATTGTCACAAAAGGAGAAAGGTCAAATAAAATCAGAAATGAAAAAGAAGATATAAAAACTGAGACCACGGAAATACAAAAATCATTACAGACTATTATAAACAACTATATGCTAACAAATTCAAAAACTTAGAA